TGCCGTGGGCGTGGCCTGCGTCTCCCCGCTTTGGGGCACCAGTGAATCGTTGGCCTTTGGGCTGTTGGACGCTGAGGTTATTGTGGTCTCGTCACCCGGTGCCTGCCAGGCCTGTCGGACCGGAGCAGGCTGACCCCTTCCCAAGTGTCCTGTGGCACCAGCCCTCCCAGTTTCCAACAGCAGTGTCTCTCCTGTTTCCAGAGGAAACCTCTCTCTGGCCTGTCTTCCCGTCGCCTCCTGGATGAGTAGCCCTTGGCCGCTGGCTCCCTATTACCAGGGACGCATCTCCTCCATTGTTTGGGCCAGTGGTGACTCTGAGGACGTGTGGCAGTGGGCCTCTGGGCCTCAGGCACCGGAAAGGGCTCCGTCTCCCTCGCTGAGGCCCTGGGGCCCCCCCACCGCCACCTGCGGACAAAGTGCCCTCCTGTGAGCACTGCCCCTGCGGCTGCCCTCTGACCCTCGCTGCCAGGCGCCCGGGGCCGCCTCTGACGCTCTGTCTGCCTGGGTCTTCCGAGGGCCAGTGGATGCCATGCTGCAGGGTCGCAGTCCCACAAGCTCAGGCTTCATTTCGACAGAAACGTTTCCCTGAAGGAAAGATAAAGGAGAAAATGTTGAATTTTCTACATGGGGTTTAATGTTTCTTTCTTTTGAAAATATTTGGGCTTCCTTGAAGGTTCTGTTTCCTTCTGGGATAGACTTTCCTGGCAGAAGTGGTGCATTTTACCAGCATGGAGCTGAAAGAGAATCACTGAAATGAGTGGAAATGTGGAAGATCATTCGAAAACATTCACGTTTATTGCATTCGTTTATAAGAACATGAGTTAAATCATTTCCAAGTCATGCACTTTACCCACTTGTGTGAAAAAATCAAGAACAACTTAGGTATATGCACAACCCAAGGACACGGACAATGGTGGGGAGAGGGACTGGGGAGAGGGATGGGACGGGGTGGAACCGGTCATAGGGGAGAAAAGGGGACATCTGTAATATTTTAAACAAAAATAAAAGTTAAAAAAAAAAAAGAGTAACTTAGGAAAAACATGAAATAGTTACCCGATTATGTTCCTAAATTTAATTAATTAATATCAAATTTATTAATTTAATTTTAAGGTTATTAAATAATATCCCTAAATGTCAGGAATAAAGAGTTTATGCAATTTATATGGTAATGTGCACAGTGATGAATAGAAGTTTATATTTATTGTATGAAAAACAAGCATCCTAATAAAGCAAATTAATTTTGTAAATAATTTTTGTAATGGGATAATTTACATAAAAATAAAGCCAATTATTAGAAAAAATTGTGACCATTGTGTCCAAAATTCGATGGTGGTAATGATAAATTATTAGGTTTTATTCAAAGATATCTATAGCTCAATACTTCACCATCCTAATTTACATCATTATTCTAGGTAGACTGAGGTGATGTTATGTTTCTTTAAAGAAATTCATTAAGTTGCCATTAGTTAGTGGAAGCCCAACTTGTATGAATTACTGAAGTCTTACGTGATGATTACAACAGGGACGTGGCTACAGTGTTTCCTTTTGACTTTATCTGTGTCTCCTTATCGGTAACAAACTCTCTTCGCTCCACTGGCCTCATTTCTCCCACGGGAGGAGAGGAGGGTGGGAAATAAAGCCCGTCTTGTTCTTACCGTACATTTCAAATGGACTTGAGTCCTGGAATTGTGACAAAAATGCTCTTTTGCTTATTTTTTCTCTTTCTCCAGGAACAATTAGATATTCCCATACCCAAGTACTTTTTGAAGGAGAAGTTGGAAGTAATAAAAAGAAGAGAGAAAATCCTTGCTCAAATATTAGCCGACATTGGATTGGACATGCAGCACATGGTTTGTATATCATTTCAACCAACATTAGCCCATAATCTATAAAATCTGCTCTTTCTGCTCCTAATTGAGAAGCAGTTGGATTATTTTGTTGTGAGGGGAGTGGTACCTTCCCCCCGCTTGTTATTCAGTATAGTTTTTGGTGATTCATAACGATTATTTGTCAAGAACTTAGAAATCAAGACCAGAATATAATACGTTGTTGGTTAAATCAGCATTTCTATGATTCTGTAGATTAGCAACTCCGTCTAATTTTTCATCTCAGATTCACCTCACCTAAGTCCGAAACGGAAGGGCGCTCATGTAAAATAATTGAGGGCTGCCCAGCCGGCATGGCTCAGCAGTTGAGCATCGACCTGTGATCCAGGAGATCGGGGTTCGAGTCCTGGTCAGAGCACATGCCGGGGTTGAGGGCTCGATCCCCAGTAGGGGGCGTGCAGGAGGCAGCCGATCAATGACTCTCTCATCCTTGATGTTTCTCTCTCTCCCCCTTCCTCTCTCTGAAATCAATGAAGATATATTTAAAATAAAATAAAATATAATTGAGGGCTGAAATAACTCACTCAGAACTCACAAATGACCATACTTTCTAAAAAGCTGATTGACCTTTTACAACTTCAACTTGAGTGACACTTGGACCACCTCGAGTGGACTGTCTGTGGGAAGGAAAGATCCTTAAAGTTCCCCGGAGGCCAAGAGCAGGATCCTGCAGTCCTCCGCCCTCCCTCCCTCAGCCCCTCGCGGGCAGCTCCGCTCCTTCCTCTCGGCCTGTAGCTCTGGCCTGACCTGCTCCGGGTCCGTGCTGGGGTCTCCCGCTCAGCCTCCAGGGGCGGTCTTGCTGCCAGTCCTTTCCACGGGCACCGCCCTGGCTTCTGGCAAATCTCCTCAAGCATTTCCGTGACCTTCCCTGCCTGGGAGTCAGTGCCCCTGACCACCCAAACCCAGACAGCCCTCAGCGAGCCGGGCACCCTCGGCGGCGATGCCACCCCTGCGGGTGCAGACCGGGTGTCCAGGAGGGATCGGGCCGCATGCTCGGTCTCCCTACACACGGGCCCGCCGGGTCCTGTCACCCCGGCTCCACCGCGAGCGGCCGTGGGGCGGGAGTGCAGGCCGGCTCACCCGCCCTGCGTCGCGCTTTGCGGAGGCGCTCTTGCTTCCTGGGCAGAGAGGGCTCCGCCCTCTCCCTCCGTCCCAGCCTGTCCAAATGATTCTCGTTCCCACGGGAACCCTTTCCGGACCCCACTAATTCCAGACCATCTCTCCATCCAGGGCCTATCCCCTAAGTGACTGGCCCCTCTTCCCATTGTTCGTTCGCCAAGGCTGACTTGGCCGGGGGCATCCGGCCGCCCTGCACCACCTGGCTCCTGGTCCCACCTTCAGCACGAAGCCCCTCCTTCAGCCCCCACCCCTGCACAGAGCGTTGGCGAGCCTGCAGAATTCACTGAAGGTGGCACAGGGGAGCTGAGAAGGGAGAGTAAATAGTACACACTAAAGTAAAACCCTAAAATTCCCTTTGCTGTTTCTGCCCCCTCCCTCCCCCCCAATCCCTTTCCTCTGTGGGGTCTGCAGCAGGAGGTCTCTTCCCTCCCTCGGTCCAGCCCTGGGCTCTGCCCAGTTCTGGGTCACAGGTGCTCCCGCTCAGCAGGACTTCCAGCTTCTGGGCTCCAGCCCCGAGCATCTGGGTGACGTCCCCATGCCCTTGGGGTCTCCCTGGACCCCGACTCTCATCTTAAGCTGCTTATTCTTGAAAATATATGTGATATTTACCCCAAGAAGCATTTTGATAAGTGGACATTACTCTTCACATCTACTTTGTGATGTTCAACATTCACTCTCGGGGCCCCATCCATGTCAGAAATCTCTGTCGCATAGACTACCCCACACCTCTTAGAAGGAGCCAGCAGGGACTGAAATTATTTTCAGAAAAACAGTATAGAATCTAAAGGAAATAAATGCAATAAGAGCTAATGTTTGCTGGGCACCTGCTACCTGCTTAAGCGTCTGGCGCCTGTAGGTTCTCAGTAAATGCCCCTTTGCTCCCTTCCTGTGTGTACACACACACACACACACACACACACACACACACCGTTACACAGAGGAGTGATCACCTGGGAGCGGTGGCCAGGTAATGAATTGAAGCACCCCCCCTTGGGACCTCAGTGTCTCGCACTGTATCCTGACGTTGTGGCCATTGCTGCCCTGAGGCCTGTACAAGGACTCAGCCCGTGGTTGGGTGTTTTTGATCCCAGTGGCCCTTCTGCCCCATCCGTGCATGAGGCTCTGCCCAAGCCAGGCCACGCACACAGCCTCTCCCTCACTCCCGGGACAACCGAGGGCCAAGGGCCTGAGCCCCCACTAAGCTCCCGCAGCCTCGCTCTTACCCCTCTTTCCTCCAGAAGAGCACAGCCCCTCGCCTGACTTTGCCTCAAAGACGGCATTGTACTGCACAAGCCCAGTGTTTCTCAGTCTCCATAGCACCCATCACGTCTGAATGTTTCGAAATGCAAACTTGTAGGTACCGGAGGACATTTCATATATAAAGTTAATGCGCCTCCAAAGATTCTAGCATGAGTCATATTCACAGATCATCCTGTAATGGGTTTTAAAGTCGGCATTTTCCTTCATGTGTATTTTATGTTTTAAATTCTCGCATTAGAATATGTTTTTAATTTATGTTTACACTATTAAGTCAATGAACACTGATGGCCATTTCAAGTTTCCTTGAATCCATTTCATTGGCATTCCTCATGTAATTTGCTGCCAACCTAAAACGTGGAGCTAATTAGTGTTTTGTTTGGACGGTGGGGGAACGCCGAGGGCTGCTTAACCGTGGGCCACAGCACGAACGTGGCACATCAGCAGAACGCACAAGAGTCACGGGAGGGCGATTAGTATTGAGCCCACGTCACACGGAGCAGTTTGGCAGCTCCCCAAGGTGGGGCGGGAAGTGAGCCTGTGATGTTTCTGGGATCGGCTGGTGCAGTTGACATGCTTAAACACTGATTGACCCCCAATGTGTTTTGCAGAAACCCCCTGAAAAGATCATTCCCCTCGAGGAGGCCGTGAAGTTGATCCAGATCTCGGAGAGGGCGCGGCAAGGCCGCCTGAGGGCCATGTTCATGAAGGAGATCTTCCTTCAAGAGAACAGGGCCAGGCTGGCCAGGATGCTTGGCGAGAAGGTCGCGGACTTGGGGGCGGCCGCAGTGCGGATCCAGAAGGTGTGACGGGGGGCGCTCCTGGACCCGGGGCCAGGTGTCTGACGCTGCCGGGGATGCGGGCCAGAGACGCGGTCAGCTCCGAAACCCAGAATCCCCAAATCCTACTGATAGAACCGGGTTAAAGTCCAGAAACATTGGCTTTCTTACCCTGGGGAACCGTTCCCTAAGCTTGGTGTGTTTTTTTACATTTAATTATAAGTAGGTATAAAGCGCAGGGCATTTTCAAATGGCTTTGAAATCGTTGCTATTTGTTGGGAGAGAATGTTGCTAAAAACTCATTGAAGATATAAATCCTTAATGAACCTTTAAAAGTCCATTTACACATGGGCACATATCACCGCAGGCGGGGTCAACGCCTGCGAGCTTGCAGTTCACACGGTCCCGGCCACCAACGCGAGGGACCAGAACCTCGACGCTCCTTTTAAAAATTTCTCCTGGATCCTAGGTTGACGCTCAGCCTCTGAGCCACGCCGGCCAGGCTCTCTCTCTCTCTCTCTCTCTCTCTCTCTTTTTTTTTTTTTTTTTTTTTTTTAATGTACGAAACGAGTAACCATTTCTTTTTTAGGTCTGGCGAGGTTTCCATCAGAGTAAGAGAACCAAGAGGGAGCGAGAAGAGGAGCTGGTGTTCCTGGGGATGGTGAGTCTCCGGCTTCCTGGGAGATGACGGGACCTGTGAGGCTGACCTTCCGCAGCCGGTTCTCGAGGGACAAGAGGAAAGAAAAACAAATGGCCAGTGGCTTCCGAGGGCGGGGTCCCCTGTGGGGTGGGGAGAGCAGGGCGTGTCCCGCAGCAGCCCTGTCGGCACCCGGGGCGCCCCGGTGTGGGCACCGGGGCTGAGCTGCCGCCTGCCTGGCGTTAGCTGGCACGCGGCTCTATTAGTGCTGCGGCCGCGGGCCCGGGTGGCACGGATTCGCTGCCCTCTGGGGGCGGTGACTGAGCGAGAGAGGAGGGTGTATGAGTTACCCCCTGCTGTGTAACAGATTATACAAACTGAGCAGCGCACACGCACACACACGCACGCTCGCGCGCACGGCCGGCTCCGTGGCAGTGGCCGGGGGTCTGCGCTTCGCTAGGCCCTCTGCCCGGCCTCGCAGACGCTGCAGTCGGGGGGCCGCCGGGAGGGGCCCCTCGGAGGCGCNNNNGGCCCCTCGGAGGCGCAGCGGGGAAGGATGGGCTTCGGCAGCGAGTGTGGGTGTTGGCAGGGCTCGGCCCCGTGGGCAGTCGGATGGGAGCCTGTTTTCTGGCCCGTTGTTACCCGGAGACAACCCCAGCTCAGTGCCATGGGGGTCCCTCCATGTGGGAACTTGCCCCCCAAAGCCAGCAAGGAAGAGATGCTACCTCTCCCGCAAAAATCGCAGAAGTAGCACCCCTCGCCTCTGCCCTGCTCGGTGGGTCACCCTCCCTGGGCAGAGGGGCAGAGGAGGGTGCGAGCGCCAGGAGGGGGATGGCCGGGCGCCGCCCCAGAGGCTCTGCCGGTGCTGGGAGCTTCCTGGGTGCCGGGCCCGCAGGGGGGCCTCCACGGCGGGGGGGCCGCTCTGCTTTCAGGGCGCAGCCATCGCCGGGAGTGGGCGCCGTGCGTTACCCTCGCCCCGCCTCTCAGCCGCGGCTGGCGAGCTGCAGCAGGACCGTCCAAATACGTATATTCTTCACCCTGATTCTATCTCTACCTTAAGGAAACCATCGGAAATAGAGGTCTATGTGCGTAGAAGTTTCCTAGTGTTCTTTTTAATGATGAAAATTAGAAATAAGCAATTCTAGTGTTCAGAGTGAGGACGAAGCTAAGTGATTTATGGTGGACCTACGTTAACACAGCAACGGACCACCCTCAGAAACATACGTTTATGACTGATTTTTGACGGCCTGACAATGCTCAATGTGAAAATACAGGAGTTAGAATTATACATATAATTTCGACTGGATGTATACACACATCCACACACGTGCCAACAAAGGAAGGAAATACGCCGAGTTCAAATAATGGTCAGTTTTTAATGTGGGGACTTTGGAAGATTTTTTTTGTCCATAATTGTCTGTATTTTCCAAAGCATTTGAATTTTGATTCATTAACTGGGGGAAAAAAAACAGTACATATTTGAAAATAAAAGTAAGCCCTGGCCTGTTTGTCTCAGTGGTTAGAGCGTCGGCCCATGGACTGAAGGGTCCGGGTTCGATTCCAACCAAGGGCACGCACCTCGGTTGCAGGCTCCATCCTCGGCCTCAGTCGGGGTGTGTGCGGGAGGCGACCAAGCGATGTGTCTCTCACATCGATGTTTCTCTCTCCCTCCCTTCCACTCTCTCTGAAAAGCAATGGAAAAAATATCCTCGGGTGAGAATTTAAAAAAAACCAAAGAGAATGAAAATGAAAGTAAATGCCCAGAGAATTGCCCACTTTGCCCCAAGCCCTCCAAATCGTGTGCTGCGCCCGGGCAGGTGGGTGGGGGTGATCCAGCCTGGTTTCTCCGTATGGCCCTCAAGCGGTGCACAGATCAGAGACGTCAGGATAAAAGCAGGGGGTGCCTCCAGCTTCCTCCTTTAAACGTTAAACTCGCACGCAGAAGAGTCGACCTGGGATCGTCTCAGGGGCACGTGACACGTTGTGCTAGCAGCCCTTGTAATTCCCCAGTTCCATTTCACTTTCCCAGCCTATGATCACGGGCCCAAAACCTAGGGGAGGGACAGCCAGTGCTTTTCCATCTCGAAGTCTTAAAATCTTACATTGCTACCACATAGGGTTACATGTTTTTTCATTATGATTTTTCTGTTTCACTTTGTCGTTGGTATCTGCTCAGCTCAAATAAAAAATGCCTGTTAATTTTTCAGCAGCGCAGAGCCTGGGCAATATAAGGAGAGGGACTTATCTGTTTTCTATTAAGCGCGGCTTCCCCGCCGCGTGTGCGCGTGTCCGTGTGTGTGCGTGTGTGCGCGCACATGCGTGCTCTCTAGATATTCACGCTCATCTGAAATTTTACTCCATCGTATAATATATGGATTCAATTTATAAAGAATGGTATCTCTGCTCACTGGCTGATAACCGTAAAAATCCATTACCCCAAATCGGAGACGTGTCTCCGACTGCATACATTTTCCACTCTGTCACTAATTAAGATATTGTCTGCTCATTTTAAAGCTTCATTTTTCCATTGTGTGACTGTGTCCTATCACACCAGCGTCGAAACCACTGGCTTATCTGATCAAAACTGTACAGGAAACTCAGCCTGTTTCCAGGGGAGGCTCTTTAGGAACCGAAACCAGAATTAGAGCGAGAAGTGTCTTATGCCAAATGTTTTCCTTACACTGTGATATACACTTTTTTTTTCTGATATCGCCATTTTAAATATTTATATTCTGAAATCTACAAAGGAAAATAAATAGCCCTCTGAACATTCATGTGCAGTTGTTCTAATTGGCAGAGCCGATGGGGTGGATCAGGTAGAGGGGACGTAATGAATGCCATACGCCTCACTCTGCGGACCCCTTCGGAATAATTTGTCCCACAGTCACGACCGTATATATTCTGTGTTGGCCTGAAGCTATCGATGTTTGCATCCTAATGAACAGTGGGGGACGCGCATTAAAGAGAGAGAACTGTCACCGTGAAACGCACCAGAGACCCCTCGAACTCTGCTCACTCTCACATCCTAACACGAAGCAAGCTGGGCGCTGGATTACTTTTTGGTGAATAAATTCGACTTCTTTCTATTATCAAGTCACCCCAAGCAGGAGTGGGGCACCGGGGCGCGCTCCCTCCATGGCTCCGTTGGGAAGGCGGGTGCAGTGCCCTGTGCTTCCCGGCCCTCGGCACCCGCGGGCCCCTCTGTGGAAAGGACCGTCAAAGCCAAAATGAGCCAAGAATCAAAATGAAACGCTCTTTTACGGTCACAGTTTAATATCAGCCAGGAGCCTTGTCGTCCAGCCCAGCCATGTGCGTTATTTAATGTATTTGGCTCCATATGACGTTGGATTGTTTCTAGAAGGAAATTTATTCTCAATAAACGGATGGGCCATGATGTATGGGGTTCTGTTTTGATTTGTTTTAGATTTGTTTTCTATTTTAAATGCAAAAGAGCCATCCCCCAAGTGCCCTCAGGGGAGGCTGCATCTTAGAAATGAGTGGGAGCCTCCGCCGTCAGCGTGGAAGGGTTTGCTCGCCATGTGGGTGCAGAGCCAGGCACCCGGGTGGCCAGCTGGGAACGTGGGCCTGTGGGAGACACTGAGCAATTCCCCCTCCCCCCCGGCTCTGAGCCTCGGTCTCATCCCCCGTGAGAGCTGTGGGACTTCGGGAGGGACCACGCACCGTCCAGGAACCGCAGCTGCCGGGAATCGTCTTGGGAGACCCCGCGTGTTGTCCTGATAACTGAACGTCACACAATACAAAGTAGCAAGAAGGTGGTAACTTTCCTGTGTCACAAATGACGAAACACTTCAAAACAAGTCGGTGCATGAAACACGCAGGCCGCTGACTTCAAAATAGAAAACGTCTCGGCCCCTGCTCGTCGGATGTGTCGGCAGCTGAGCCGGAGCAGCCACAGGCCTGAGCACCGTGCAGCGGCCCCTGTGGCTGCCCGGAGATGCTGGGGGTCCGTCCCTCAGCAAGAGGCGCCGCCCCCGGCACGGTCCACAGACCGGCCGCGCAGTGGTCCTGGGGCGGGGGCCGGGGGTGCAGGCCCCCAGCGGGCGAGCGAGGGATCAGAGCACCAGTGAGGACCCTGAGTCACCTTCGTTGATTTGAAAGCCCACCTCAAGATGTTTTGGGAAAAAAGGAAAAGTCACTTTTTTTCCCCTGTTAAGTGGGATTTTACAATCTAGTGGCCTGGGAACCTTTCGTCCGATGTTGTTTTTATTATGACTCTGCTGTCGTCTTGTCCGGGCCTCCAGGCCATCAGAAATCCAAGGGTGAGAAGTCCTCTCTCCCTCTCGCCTCCTGACCCCAGGATTCCTGTGGGTGACTCTGTCCTAATTTATCTCCAGTGAGGCCCAGGCGGAGCCCTTCGAGGCAGCCCCAGGGTGGCTGAGGCCGTGACTCTGGCCCCACCACCCGCCGGGGGGACTCGGGCAGAGACCTGGCTTCCTGGTGCCAAGACCCCCGCATATGCAGGTTGGAAACGGTCCCGGCGCCCGCTCGTGGGTCTGTGTCCGTATTGAAGACACTGGTCTCTGTAAATGATCAGAATAGTCTCACGTTGTACACAGCAAGTGCCGGGTAAGTGTCAGCCGATGTTTTTCTTCCAGTGGCTTAGAATCGTGGGTCTAGATGCTCGCATGAGTCATGATTTGAAAAGGCTTATTTAAAAATCGCCCTTTTACCTTGCAGTTAGCCAGGATCAGAAAGGTTAATGTCACAGTGTTGGCCAGGACTGTCGGGGGCCGAGGGACGGGTCAACCTCTTCGCAAGGCAGATGGGCAATAGCTCCTGAAATTACAAATGCACGTTTTTTAAAAAGTATGATCCATAGGAGCCATCAAAAAACATTTTCAGACTAAATGTTTCAAGCTGTAAGAAACCTGTCAGTGGAGAGACACAGCAAAGCACAGAGGGTAAGGTTCCCGGAATCAGTGCCCCGAGGCCAAGCCCAGCCTGCCACCTCCTGGCTGTGTGACCCTGGGTAAGCTCCTCGACCTCTCTGTGCCTCGGCTTCCTCAGATTTAAAATGAAAATAATGATGGTACCTACCCATGAGATTATTATGAGAAATAAATAAATTAGCACTTAAAATAGTGCTTTGCAACCTGTAAGCGCCATCGAAGTGTTTATTTAAAACACTTTCAAAGAAAGTGGGACGCCAGTAGCAGAGAAGCTTCCTCCACTGATCAGTTAAAAGCTCAACCAGACTGTTCCAGCCCAGCTCCTACTTCGCACATTGTGAAACTACCAAGAAATTTTTAGAAATTGGGCTTAACGGACCAGGACATTTTTAACCTTTAATAGTTTGGCACCTGCTCAGATTGTGGCGCCTTCAAACAAAGGCCCAACGTAGCTGTGCGGCTGGCAGAGGACACTGGAGACCGCGGGCTCTGGGTCTCCCTGCAGCTGTCCCCGCTCCCACTGGCTTTGTCGTTCTGAGCAGGCCCAGGTCGGTATAAACACGGATGTCGAAATACAGAGACATTACCCTGAAATGGAATGAAATGGTGCCCGGCCGGTGTGGTCAGTGGCTGGGCGTCTTCCCAGGCACTGCGAGGTCACCAGCTCAGTCACAGTCGGGCGCACGCCCGGGTTGTGGGCTCGATCCCCAGCTGGGGGGTGCGGGAGGCAGCCGGTCAGTGTTGATGGTTCTCTCACTGACGTTTCATTCTCTCTCCCTCTCCCTCTCCTTCTCTCGAAATCAATTTTTTTAAATGTTTAAAATGAAATGAAACAAAATGGCTTATTTCTATAAACTAAGGGACCCACACGCAATCTTGAAATGGAGCAACTGGAGAGCCATGCCCGCCACAGCGTGAGACGGTCGTTCCATGGGCCGGGACAGACGAGGGGCGCCGGTGGCCCAGGAACGGGGGCCCGAGGACTCCCTAACCAGCAGATGCCCGCTGCTCCCGGAGGCGGCCGGGCACATCTATCTCTAGCAAGAGGTCCCTCAGGATGGTCATTCGCTTCGCTAGATGCCCCCCGTCTCCTCACTGCTGTGTCTTTGCCTTCGGGGACAGCAAAGCACCGTGAAGAAGCGGGACCCCCCAGGACCGCGAGCTTTGGAGAAAGCCGCCCTCACCCAGCCGCTTATTTGCAAGTGTACTTGCGACTGACAAATGGAATGGATTTTCATTTGGACAAATGTCCATTTTCTCTTACTAATTTGAACACGGATTTCTAAAGACGAAGCCCATGAAACATTAGCTAAGCATTTTAAGTTAATGGGCCGTGGAGTCCTATTTCCCCTCCAACCCGGGAAGTGTCCCCCGATGTCCTGTTTCTACAGCAACATCAATTATTAATACGTGTGTTTCTGCTGACGGAGGACCCGCCGTCCGCGGGTTGCGTTCTCCGGTCCCGGGTCATTAGCTGTGGGGAGCTTGTAAACATAATGGCTTATTCCCGTGGGAAGCCTTCATTAAGACGCGTAATTCTGCAGCTAATGTATTTCGCTACATTGTGTGTTATCATGTTCCCTGTTTCCCTTTTAATATTCGTAATTTGTTTTTAAATGAGTTGCTGTTTATGGGACGATGAATTCTCGAATTTGAATTCTGTGTGATCAGAGTTGCCAAGGAGGAAACGATCTGTTAGCCCCGAGGAAACGCTGCTCGTTAACACGGGACCCAACTAGATGACAACCGTTAAATTCAGAAGCAACTGGAGGAAGACTCTCCCAGGGACCCCAAGTGCATTTCTGCCGGAGGAAGTCCGTGTGGAGAAACAGGCATGAACACACGTGTGAGCAGCACCACGTGGTGTGGCGGGAGGAACCCGGGGAGCTTCTCGTGGCTTCTCCGTTAACACCAGTGACGGTGGAAACCCCATTATGAACCTTGGTGTCATCTGTCAACGGGATGGTCCCGTCCCCATTTCTACCTCAAAGGCAGGTGCAAGTGTGAGTGAAGAACCCCAGTGAAAGATCGTGGGGACAGTGAAAACCCGAGGGGAGCTGGGAGGCTTCCCCCCCACTCGCAGGTCACGGGAGCAGCATCGTTCGCCCAGCGCTTCGGGAGAGCCACTGACGGGACAGGGACCACGGGAGTCACCTGATCAGTGCCTCACTCTTAGGGGTACACGGGGAAAGGCCCAGCTTCAGCTACAGTTTGTGTGGGTGCCTCTGGGAAAGGGGGTTATTGCGAAGGACTGAGAGGCGGGTGTGATGGGGTGGGGGCCATTCGTGGGACTCGCTGACTGAGGATCGTCAGGTGGATGCGGGACCTCGATACAATGTTGCACGTTCAGCACAGGGAGGAAGTGCGGCCTTTGCAGCAGACCCACGAGCACGTCGCAGAGACCCTGAGCTTCAGGTCGTCCTGGAGAGGTCAGAGGAAACTCTGAAGAACTGGGAAGTCCTGCTTCTTACATTTGAAATGCAGACTCTAGGAATGAGGGGCATTACCCGGGAGATGTGGGAACTGGAGACGGTGCTTCTTCATAGGCTGAAAGGGAATTCCCGCCTCTGTTTCGACACAGTGTGTGATATAAGGCCATGCCTTTGCGCACCTGCAGGGTGAGGCCGTGGAGCTTGTTTTTAAGATTGTTCTTTAAACTGAGTCTATAATCCTCATTCCAGACTCAGTTTTGAAGCAGTTTTGAGGTTTTTTCCTGCCATAACTGTCACACGTTGTACTAAACGTAGGCAGCTTATTTCCTTGGACGTTCCGATGCATATTTTTATAAACTCTTGTAGGTGCGATTTTCTTTCCATTTTTCTCACTTGATTTTGTGTCATTAAGTGGACGCCAAATTCCAACAACATCTGGACTGTGGTTTCAAGTTGAGAAATCACTCCCAGGGGCTCACAGGTATTTCTTGGAGGTTGTGCGTGTGCGTGTGTGTACTTGTCACATTTAACTATTTCAACCATTCGGAATTTATTTCAGAATATGACCTGAATTGAATCCTTAACATTACCCTTTTTTCCCTTCCCAAGTAATTGATTTACATTTACAGTTTTGTCGACGGAGACAAGACCTTGGGTTTTGTCATATACTAAATGCGCAGCTTTCGAAATGGGCTTTAATGTTTTTCTCTTGTTCTGGAATTTTCTCTACAAGGGAGCTTCCTAGCCTGGGTCCCATGCACATCAGTGTGGGTGCTGCTGGGACAGGGACAACAATCACACGGACCCCTGCACCAGCCCCCGTGGTGGACCTGCACTGAGCATACCCCCCGGGCTCTGGACAGGCTTTGCAGGGAGGGGCCCCTTCAGCCTCACGCCTAATGCCGGCCCCATCCTCACGAGGAGGAGCCGACCCTGGGCGGTGAGCTCAGTGGTTAGAGCCTTGGCCCGCAGGCTGAAGGGTCTCGGGCTCAATTCCAGTCAAGGGCACATACCTCTATTGCAGGCTCAATCCCCAGTCTGGTGGGGCGCATGTGGGAGGCAACCAATCAATGTGTGTGTCTCTCTCTCTCTCCCTTACACTCTCTCTGAAAAGCAATGGAAAAAATATCCTCGGGTGCGGATTTAAAAAAATTAAAATCCTGAAAACATATCCATTGGGTCTCATGAGCCATTACGGTAGCTCCAGCTCACCCCTGAGTCGGCCCGTCCTTGCTGAGTGGCCTGGGCTGAATGCCTGAGCCGCTGGCAGCTGGGGACCTGCGCCTGTGCAGGACACCTGTCCCCCCGCCCTCGGGTTCCCGGCACTGCGAGCCCCTCGCGTGTCTTCCTCCTCCGAGTCCTTCAGCTCCTCCCACCCACGCCCACAGCGCAGCGCTTTCCTAGACTGCCCGCCGTAGTCCCAGGCCGCGTCCCGCGTCACTCTTGTCCCGCCAGCTGCCTTTCTCTGGGGATTTTAAAGAACAGGGGCTCTGTCTCGACATCGCCTGGCATCTGCTCTGACACCCTCCGCGGGCGCTGGGCCCGGCTGAGCACCGGGGTGGGCTCAGCGGCCAGGCGTTGGCCCACTTGCTGATCTGCAGACTTCGAGGGGGAAACGTTCTGACAATAAGATATGACATCGGCGAAGGTCAGGACCAGCGGAGAATCCTCCCCTCGGGGCGGACACAAGAGGACAGATGTGCTCAGGGCGGATGTGGGTTTCCCGTTCTGGAAGCTGGAGCACTCACCCTCTTCCCAGCCCTTGTCCCGCCCCAGGTGCTGCCTTATTCCAGCCTTTTCTCCCACTGACCGAGACGACTCGGGAAAGGTTTCCTTTCTGTAGTTTGGGTGAGTGTGGAAAGGTTTACTGACTGTGCATTTTTCACGCCAACTCCCCCCCGGGACTCTGGGACGCGGTGTGGCCTGAGCCCCGGCTTTCCCCCTCGTGGCCGTGACTCCGGCAGATACCCCCAAGTCCGAGCCTCGCGACCTGCGTGGGCCGTGGGCCGTGGGCCGTGGGTAAGATGCCCGCGAGCGCCGGCGGTCTCCCTGGGCCTGCAGCCTCCCCTTGTGTTTCCAGAACCCGCCCCCGCTGTTCAACGAGGCGAGCGCGGCGGTGACCCAGGCGGAGCGGGCGAGCCAGCAGCGGCGGGAGGTGCAGGCGCGGCACGAGGAGGACTACGGGAAGGCCGCGGCCGGCGTCCGGGAGGAGCTGGAGCTGACCGAGGGCCCCGACATCAGGGAGCACCTGCAGGACCAGATCCGCCGCTGGTTCATCGAGTGCAGGTGAGCCGGGCGCAGAAACCGCGAGGGGGGTCCCGAGGGCTCGCGCTTCCTTTGGGGAAAGTGAAATGCCGAGGCTGAGACTTCGGGAACTGATTTTTTGTAATGAAACGGCTGGTATCTTTTTTTAAAATAAAATTTGTTTTGAAATTTTATTTTATCATGAATATAAAAATCACAGTATCAAAAGTACATTTTCTTGAAACGCATATCACCACCAGAATATTTTATATTGAACTGCCCAATTATGTTTTCCTTTTCTTCTCTAAAATTATGTAGTTAATTTTTTTAATTGCTTTATTGATTTCAGAGAGGAAGGGAGAGGGAGAGAGAGATGAGAGAGTCATTGATCGGCTGCCTCCTGCACGCCCCCCACTGGGGATCGAGCCTGAAACCCTGGCCATGTGCCCTGACTGGGACTCGAACCCATGACCCTTCTGCCCAAAGTCTGATGCCCTAACTGCTTAGCCACACCGGGCAGGGTGTGATTCTTTACTTTTATATAGACATTTTTAAATCCAATTTATTTTCAGGTGACAAAATCAAGTTGAAAGCACTATGTACAATTATAACCTTAAATTAGCTAAAATACATAAAATGTACAGATACACATACACATATACATACATATTCATACACACATTGAACTTATTAATTATGTCCGTGTATGGGTGGAGAATTTCTGGAAGGGTTCACTGTTAGTGTGGCCACCGCTGGAAACTAGACCAGTGGTGTTACCCTTTATTTTATGTTACTCTCTTCTTTAGAAGTCTTTTTGAATAAGCGTTATTTTTACAATAAAAAGCCTAGTTAAAATATAATAGAAGAAAGACAAGCAATGTGCTGGGCATAGTCCAAAATAAACATGTAACATTTTCGAACAGTCTGATGTTTCCAAAGTGATGGACGCAGTGCCTGCTGACACTGTTGCAAATCACCTTGGGATCAAAGGCTAGAGGGGGGGGGGGCTCCCCTCACCTGAGGCTCTGGGAAGGTCACGGGAGCTTTCTGCAGGCCCTGGGGTCACCGGGGAGCGGCCCCCTCCCGGCGGCCCAGGGGCACTGGGCTGCCTTTGAAGACTCGGCCTCGCTGGCCGACCCCTTGAGAGCGTCGGTCCCAGGTCAGTGCCCCGCCGTCCGAGGCCCAGTCAGCAGCGCCCAGGCTGTGCTGCGCGGGCCTCGGGGCTGTCGAGATCCCTCCGGGGAAGCCGAGCGGGGTCAGGGTGAGCTCATCTCCTTAACTGGGTTACATTTACCTGATTGACTTTGATAAAACACTTTTCCTTGCTCTTCTAAATCAAAGACAAATAAAAGGCGAATCTGGTCTTTTGAAACACCCGACGTGATGAACCCTCAGGCTAGACTCCAGCGGGGGAGCGGGCGGTTACCAGGAGTCAGCGTTCCTGTAGATGCGCCACAGGTTCGGACACTTAGCTCAGCTGATGACTACTTACAGTTGCCAAAGAGGGTGCTTCTCAGACTTGTTTTCTTAAGTCGATTTTTAAACTATTTTAAAGGAAGTATTTCTTCCCAATGTTAAAAGTAATACATGCTCATTGTAGAAAATTCACAAGATAGAGGAGTTTAAAGAAGAACATTAAAATCATCATGATTTTTGTATGCAAAGCTTGTTACTATAAAATTTCTGGTAAATTTCCTCCCAGCCTTTTTTTTTAATCTTCACCCCAGGGTGTTTTCTCCATTGCTTTCAGAGAGAGTGGAAGGGGGGAAGAGAAAGACGTCGATTGGTTGCCTCCTGCGTGCGCCCCGACCGGGGCCGGGAATCGAGGCTGCAACCGAGGTACATGCCCTTGACGGGAATCGAACCCGGGACCCTTCAGCCTGCAGGCTGACTCTCAACCACTGAGGCTAACTGGCCAGGGCAGCACATGTGGGGTTTAATTGCAGTTTTGTGGATTCTTTTTCTAATTTAAAAAAATTTAATATTGGGCCCGACCAGGTGTAGCTCAGCGCTTGAGCGTCGACGTAGGATCCAGGTGATCAGGGTTCGATTCTCAGGGCACATGCCCAGGTTGCGGGCTCGATCAATGACTCTCTCATCATTGATGTTTCTATCTCTGTCTCTCCCTCTCCTTTCCTCTCTCTGAAATCAATAAAGATATATATATTTTTAAAAATTTAATATTGGGTTTTTCATGTCTTTAAAATATTTTCCCAAAGGGGGTTCTAATGGTCGCCTAGCGTCCTGTTGCTCGGATGCCCTAGTTAGTGGATTGGTTGTTATCTTTTTAATCTTCCGTCAACTGAGAGGAGAAAACGCGGAGTCAGTAACCTTTTTTAAACAATGTATCCTTATTTTTGATAAGGATACATCTGTAACACTAACATCTGAAAGTGTTACAGATGCCGCCTTTTGAACCGCCCCGCCCAGCCCCGCTGGCCCCTCCCCAGGCCGTCCCCTCACCTCGGACTGGCGGGGCTGAGTCCCTTCCCGCCCCCTCAGGAACCTTTTAATTTGCATTTATTCCATGAGCCCTCGAGGATTGAGGGGGCTTTGGGGTTTTGTCAATATCCCTTCCCTGTCTGTGAACTTCCCTGTCATTTACCTGCTTCCTTTCGTGAGGCCTTTTTAAGTGGCCCCTCAAATTCAGTGATGCACACGGGGCGCCCCCTCCCCTTCAGCGAAGGCGGGACCGGGAGCCCTGCTCAAGGCGGTCAGATCAGCGCCCAGATCAGCCCCGGCAGCGCCTCTGGCCGCAGCCCGGCCCTGCAACCCTGTGCCCCGCGCAGGAGGCCGCACCTCCCCACGCGCGCCTTGCAGCCCCTGCCTGGGTCCACGGCCTTTCCAGCCCGACTGTCCGCGTCTTTTCGAAACGCTGGGTTGTGGCCCATCCGCGGGAGGAGGGGGGCTGAGGATGGAGGGTGGGGGTGAGGAGGGGCTGCGAGGGGCAGGCGGTGGGTAAAGCTGAGGAGATGACCGCAGGCAAACAAAATAGCGGGAATGTGCTTCAGCCCGGGGCGGGGGCTCAGCGCGCCTCGGATCCCCGCAACCTCCTTCTTTCTGAGGGGGCTTGGCATGCTCTGTTTTGTTTTGTTTTGTTTTGTTTCGTTTCTAAGATCAAGATATAATTTAAATGCGGTCAGATTCACCCTTCGTGTGCAGGTCTGCAAGGCAAGCTTTGTCATTTTAAGGCAGGTGGGCCTGTGGGGCCTACAGACTCCTTGTTTCACCTGTGTCCCCCCAAGTTACGCCAATCTCGGGATCTCCAGGATCCCAGAGGAGGGGCTCCAGACTGACCGCAGGCGGGGAGAGTGGCTGCTCACAGCCCAGCAGGCCGGGCGAGGGCAGCGATGGGCTGCGATGGGCTGAAGGTGAGCAGTGTGTTTGGAGTGAGGGGGCATGTTAGGGTCTCCTGAGGTCCTGGAGAAGGGGGTGTCTCCTGTCGACATAAGAGGCTGCCTCCTGTCCACGAGGGAGGCTGCGAGGGTCTCTCCTAGACCCTGGCCTACCCGGTTTCCATCACTGTCCGCCCCTTTAGACACGGGCCTGTCTTCTGTCTCTTGGCTGCTCCTTCATGAGGGACGGTGCCGGGTGCCTGCCACAGATGCCCTTATGGGACACCAAGGCTTAGGAAGGTTGAGTGAGGTTTTCTGGGGGTTCATGGCTCATGAGAGGCAGGCCTGGAGTTCAGACTCGGGTCTCGATCCCAAAATCCACGATGCTCCCAAAGCACATTTGTCCTGAGGGCTCCGGCTGCAGAAACCCTGCCCCGGGGTCCCGGCCCCGCCGTGCGGAGTGTGCCGGGTCATTCTGTGGGAGAGATGGCATTGCCAAGGCCACAGGCTCACTAGCAACACCCCGGAAACTGGGGCCCTCATTCCTGACCCTCCCCCTTCCTCCCGCTTCCAGGCCCCTCCTCACGGAGCTGGGGACGGCTCTGTGCAGATAAAAGGGGGGAAAGCTGGCTCACCCCATTATTCATAGACGGCAACGTGGACTCAGGGAGTGAGGGGACTTGGCCAAAAACTTGGGTAGTTACGAGCAGAACAGTCTCCCAGCGAGTGGGGACTGAGGCGAGCCCTGTGTGAGGCCGGATTTGGGCCTCAAGGGAAGTGCAGGACTGTTCCCTCTGAGGACCTGCCAGGACATCAGAAGAAGCCACCAGCAGGTTGACAATAGGTGTCTTCGGGTATCGGGGCCTCGGTTCTGTCCCTTTACACTCCACATTTTCTATGGGGAGCGTGAGTGACTTTCAGGGTGAAGACGGAGTTTCAGAGGCGGTGGGAGCGGGGTGGGCACCCAGGGTGCATGAGGGGCCTGTTATCTCGGATTCCTCCTGTAATTATGTTTCCAGTAAACTCTCAGCGGCAGCTGTGGCCGGCGGTGGCGAGGTGAGCGTGCGCAGGTGGCTCAGATGAGAAGACAAATGAGGTTTTTCTGCCAGTTGCTGTGTGGAAAGTGAACGGGGGACATAGGAGAGCAGGGATGGGAACCCAAGGTCCCGGCATTTCCACCGAGGCCTGGGGACAGGGGCACATCCCGTGAAATCGCGTGTCTGGGTGTCAGTGGTCGCGGTAAGTCGGATTAGGAACACGCAGCCCTACAGGTTCTTCTGGTTTCTCCAGGCGCCGAGTCTTGTGGAAAAACAGGCCCAGGGCTCACGTGCAAACGCAGTGGACACACTCCCTTTCCTCGGCCCCTGGACCGTTCCAGGCGACACTGGCCGCCGCACTCCCCGCATCCCGCCTTTATGCCTCCCTCTGGGTTGCAAGCCTTCAGGGGACAGGGCCCAAGGCCTCCCGGCCGCCTCCTGCCGCAGGGCCTGGGGAGCAGATGCAGCGTGTGCTGAGCCAAGCGGGCAGGCGGAGGGGAGCCGCTGGGGACCCAGAGGACACTGTCGTGAACGCTGAGTCCAGCCTGACGCCCCTGGGGCTGGAGCACAAACCAGGGCGGCTGGAAGGCTTGTTAAATCCCAGTTCTGGGCCCAGCCCCCGGAGCTCGCTGTCTGCGGGTCTCAGGTGGGACCTGAGAGGCTGCATCTT